TTTTTGCACTTACTAAGTTTTATTTTATCCAGTGAGCCCGTTGATAATCATCCAGTACTTAGTACAGTGACGAGAATAAAACATCCTAGCTCTCAATCATTTGAATGGATGAACTGTCAGTCATGGGGCGGTATACGAGGACGTGGAATTGAAACTAGAGTAGGAAAGCATGGCCGGAAAAGGTTCAGGAGAGGGAAACAACAAACTAACTTAAAGGCCTACATGAAACGGAAATTGGTAGTACAGGTAGTTTATGTTGTATTCCGGGGAGCGGCTGTTAATAAAGTAGCCTGCAATCCAGGAAACAATCTGACGAACCGTCAGCACGTTCAGTATCGTTTTCCGACTGGAGGCTACGTATAAAATGGGCATCGCAATATTAGAGACCTTCTACCAGCACGCTGTAAATGAACTTCCAGAAGGCCAGTTGACTTAATGTTTCCTTCCCTTTGTAATAATAACTGATTCTGGTGCTACCACTAAACCCATCCGAAAAGCAGGTAGGCCACCCTTTAATTCCTTTACAGGTGCGTTACTGCCTTCTGTATTACTAGTACTGCGATTAGGGACATCCGGGTATTAAAGGATAGCTTTTTAGCCAACGCTGTTTATTGTACTGTACTCTTTATGGTTACAAACCTTACAAACAGATTTATACGGTAAAGGACATTATTGTAATAGATATGGTCGCACCTACGTACTGTACTAACTGTCATAACAACTAATTAAAACCGCAGACACACTTCCCTGAATACGGTATGGCACCGCACTGACATGAGCTAACCTCACTGTTGAGATTTCGTTACAAGATTATCTCACACCCTCGTGTATAGGCCATACATTAGCATATTGAAGAGTTTTTTTTTCCATCACGGATCACGGTGACTTCTTAATTTTAACTATTGAATATTAAGAACATATGCTGTTGACCCGCATAAAGTTCAGTATGACTTGAAAGGCATGACTTGAAAGATTTTGACGAATTACCGAGAACCAATACCAAGCCCTGTTTTAAGGTAAGTAGGAAGTAACGACATGATGTGTCTCGTGGAGGTTAACCTTGCGGTCGTTAAACCACGATTTTTCTGCTACTGTCCTTTTCGTCTAACCTTGTATTAGCAGAGACCAACACCACCAAGACTATTTCGGGTTCTAATCCAAGGTAGCACTTACCTTTCGATGAACCCCCCGACTAACACGTAATCGTTACTACGATCCAGATAGGCAAGCGGGTGAGTTCCGCTAACACCCACAGCAGACGAGATTTTATTTAATAGGCTGAATTGTGCAATCAATCATCGCAGACCACTAATCGTCAAGGGGAGTGTTCTTGTTTTGTTTAATAAAAATTAATTGACTCGAGCTATTTTTAGACAAGCATAAATAAAACGTACAAAACACTTCCCATAAATATCACAGTGACCCTTTATAAAACTGTCTGTCTATAAATTCCACGAGAATCGTTTCGTTATACCAAGCGTGTATCAAATCCGTACTGACATGCGTGACTACATACCGTACTAAGAAGGGAACGTGGTGCCCCTCATAATTATTCAATTGCTTAGATTTCAAATTTAGGCTACAAACGCCCCCCCTCCCCCTTGTCATGTCCATGCCTAAATTTAGGCCGGGAGAAAGGAGAAAAGACGATAAAAAAAAAAAAACCCATCAAAACCCTCAAATAGGCCTATATTGGGTAAATCCAAATTTCTGAAATTTTCCCATTCGGTTTTGCCTACAATATTTACCGTTATTACATTTAGTTCAAAATATTTGTCTGAGTTTACATTCGATTTCGCCTACAAAGTTGCTGTTTATTACATTTTATTTCAAAATAATACCGTAGTGTGCTGCGCTATTGTACGACGGTGACGACCGAATTCAAATTCGGCAAACTGGGTTCGGCAAACCGGGGTTCGGCCAACTGGGAATTCATGTTTTCGGTGAACTGGATTCGGCAAAATGGGTATTCGGCAAAGTGTGTTAAATTCGACAAACCGGGTTTCGACAAACTGGATTTCGACCAACTGGGAGGATACCGATAGGTCTTTTGATGGGAACATTTCAGAATATATTTTGTTTCTTTTATCCTTCTTGTAATAAAGTACCGGTAGCATAGGCCTACTCGTTAATTTGTTCAAATTGTTTGTTTATCTGTATGAAATAAAACAAATAAAATATTTGTTAAAAAAAAAAACCCCTCCAAGGCCTTTAGGAATACCGTACGAGATAATGACATGCAGGAGGCTACACAGTGTAATGATTGCATTGAAAACATTTTATGGAAACCAGTCTTTAAGGCCAGGCTTAAACATAGACCCGGCTTAAACTATGCCCAATAGGTCCATGTCCAAACGAGCCTAAACCAAGTCATTTTTCCGTAGACTTTCCATCTGTGAAATTCCCTTTCTATGCTCCTCTGTTTATAATTCCTGCATCATAAACTCAGGTACAATGATCTATACAAAGACTATGTATTTGGCAACATATACACATCCGTTTCCCGACATTTTACCCACCTATATCAAGAGTGTGGCACAAGAAATGGGGGATATAACTTTTCCGTTTCCTACTTATTTTTTCTTAGAACAATGTGGGTACACACTAATATGTTGGGGCTGATGCAGGATTTGGCGGTAAGAGGTGCATGAGAGTCGGCACCACCTAACCACCAACATGGTTGGGGCTGAGGAGCAAACAGTTTGAAAATATGCACCTCTTGCCCGGAAATTGCACTCATACGTTAAACATCTTACCGGTACTATTATGTTCACTACAATAATAGATAATCTATGCTGAGAGACTGTCAGTTTGGCAACAGATCATTTATCTTTGGTCCCACGGTCAGAAGTTGAGTCGATGTGATAGAAGAGAGATGGATTGGGTCAGTCAGTCTACCACGTGCCTATTGGTCTACCACGTGCATTCAAATGGGTAGACGAATAGACCTATTTTACCATAATTTTCCGGTACATGGAATTGTGCGTGTACTCTTATTATAAATAATACAGATCACGCCCAGACAAAATAAAAGCTTTTGACATAAAATCTGATC